TTGGGCCGTCATGGGGCCCTCTTGGGGGCCTCTTGGGCGATCTTGGGGGCCTCTTGGGCCGTCTTGAGCCGTCGGAATGCCGAGAAGAAGCAAATGCCAACATCCTTCAAACACCTATGGAAAATAAATGATTTTGGCCTCTTCGGGCCCTCCTGGAGGACCTCTTGGAGGCCTCTTGGGCCGTCTTGGAGGCCTCTGGGGGGCCTCTTGGGTCGTCTTGGGCCGTCTTGGACTCTCTTGGGCCGTCTTGGAGGCCGTCTTGGACCATCTTGGGCGAACTTGGGGACCGTCTTGGACCATCTTGGAGGCCACCTTGGGCCAACGTGGCCATCTTGGCGCCATCTTGAGCCGTCTTGGAGGAACAATTGTGCAATTGAGGTCCTTTCCAGGTGGCCGGCGGGACGGGCCGAAGCCCCAGTGGGAGTTCTTTTGACACAAAAAAAAAAAAAACCAAAACCGAGAGGATTCAGCACGCCAGGCACCCCTGCGATGAATCGACAGGGGGCGGCGGATCGAAGGACGCCTACGGCGAATCACCGCCGCCCCCTGCCTTTTGGAAGCGCCTATGTGGCCGAACGTTGAGGCCAGACCTGCCAAGCCATCGGACCATGTGTTCCCCGAATCGGTTTGGAAAGCCTTCGGGGAACACGTGGGCATTTTGAAGGTCATCGTGCCCGTCTGGAGGCCATTTTGACTCTTTCGGGCCTTCTTGGAGGACGTCTTGGAGGCCTCTTGGACCGTCTTGGAGGCCATCTTGAGCGTCTTGGAGACCTCTTGGGCCGTCTTGGGGGCCTCTTGGGGCCGTGTCTTGGGGGCTCTTGGGCCGTCTCGGGCCTTCGGAAGGCAGAAAAAAGCAAGTGCCACAATCCTTCAAAAACCCATGGGAAATCAATGATTTTGGCCTTTTCAGGCCTTCCTGGAGGCCCTCTTGGAGGCCTCTTGGGCCGTCTTGGGCCATCTTAGGGCCATGTTCGGCCGTCTTGGTGGGCTCCTGGTCCGTCTGACGCCGTCGGAATGCCGAGAAGAAGCAAATGCCAACATTCTTCAAAAACCTAAGGAAAATCAATGGTTTTGGCCTCTTCGGGCCCTCCTGGAGGACCTCTTGGAGGCCTCTTGGGCCGTCTTGGAGGCCTCTGGGGGGCCTCTTGGGCCGTCTTGGCCTCTCTTGGGCTGTCTTGGAGGCCTTCTTGGACCATCTTGGGCGAACTTGGAGGCCATCTTGGGCCATCTTCGCGATTCTTTGAGGATGTCCCGAGCGAAACGGCCGTTTTTGGAGTTGGCAACCGGGTCTTCCGGGTATACGGTGGCGGGACGCGCCGGAGCCCCAGGGGGAGTTCTTTCGGAAAAAGAACCAAAACCAAAACCGAGAGGGTTTAACACGCCAGGCACCCCTTTGATGAATCAAAAGGGGGCGGCGGATCTAAGACGCCTACGGCGAATCACCGCCGCCCCCTGCCTTTTTGGAAGCGCCTATGTGGCCGAACGTTGAGGCCAGACCTGCCAAGCCATCGGACCATGTGTTCCCCGAATCGGTTTGGAAAGCCTTCGGGGAACACGTGGGCATTTTGAAGGTCATCTTGGCCGTCTTGGAGGCCTCTTGGGCGATCTTTCGGCGATCTTTGGGGGCTCTTGGGCCGTCTCGTGCCGTCGGAAGGCCGAAAAAAAGGAAATGTCAAAATCCGTCAAACACCTAAGGAAAACCTATGTTTTTGGCCTCTTCTGGCCTTCCTGGAGGCCCTCTTGGGGGCCTCTTGGGCCGTCTTGGGCCAGCTTCGAGCCAACTTCGGCCATCTTGGTGGGTTCCTGGCACGTCTGACGCCGTCGGGAGCCGTCTTGGGGGCCTTTCTGGGCCAACGGGGGACCCTCTTGGGGCGCTTCGGGGCCGTTTTGGAGGCCATCTTGGGCGTCTTGGAGGCCGTCTTGGGCGTGTTGGAGGTCTCTTGGGTCGTCTTGGGCCCTCTTGAGGCCGTCCTGGAGGCCACTTGGGCCGTCATGGGGCCCTCTTGGGGGCCTCTTGGGCGATCTTGGGGGCCTCTTGGGCCTTCTTGAGCCGTCGGAATGCCGAGAAGAAGCAAATGCCAACATCCTTCAAACACCTATGGAAAATCAATGATTTTGGCCTCTTCGGGCCCTCCTGGAGGACCTCTTGTAGGGCTCTTGGGCTGTCCTTGAGGCCTCTTAGGGGCCTCTTGGGCCGTCTTGGGCCATCTTGACACCATCTACGGCCGTCTTGGGTGCATCTTGGGCCGTCTTGGCGGCATCTTGGGGACATCTGAGCCGTCTTGGAGGCCATCTTGGCCGTCTGGGAGGCCATCTCGAGCCATCTTGGAGGATTTTTTGCAGTCGTTGAGCTCGTTTCCGGGCCTTCGCGGCCCCGGCGGGACGCGCCGGAGCCCACTGGGAGAGTTCTTTTGGAAAAAGAACCAAAACCGATAGGGTTTGGCACGCCGGGCACCCCTTTGCTGAAGCAAAAGGGGGCGGCGGATCTAAGACGCCTACGGCGAATCACCGCCGCCCCCTGCCTTTTTGGAAGCGCCTATGTGGCCGAACGTTGAGGCCAGACCTGCCAAGCTATCGGACCACGTGTTCCCCGAATCGGTTTGGAAAGCCTTCGGGGAACACGTGGGCATCTTGAAGGTCATCTTGGCCGTCTTGGAGGCCTCTTGGGCAAGCTTTGGGCGATCTTTGGGGCTTTTTGGGCCGTCTCGGGCCAGCTTCGAGCCAACTTCGGCCATCTTGGTGGGTTCCTGGCACGTCTGAAGCCGTCGGAAGCCGTTTGGGGGGCCTCTATGGGCCGACTTGGGGCCCGCTTGGAATGCTCCAGGGCCGTCTTGGAGGCCATCTTGGGCGTCTGGGAGGCCATCTTGGGCGTGTTGGAGGCCTCTTGGGCCCTCTTGGGGCCCTCTAGGGGCCATCTTGGAGGCCACTTGGGCCATCATGGGGCTCTCTTGGGGGCCTCTTGGGCGATCTTGGGGGCTTCTTGGGCCGTCTTGAGCCGTCGGAGAGCCGAAAAGGCGCAAATGCCAAAATCCTTCAAAAACCAAGGGAAAATCAATGATTTTGGCCTCTTCGGACTCTCCTGGAGGACCTCTTGGAGGCCTCTTGGGCCGTCTGGGAGGCCTCTGGGGGGCCTCTTGGGCCGTCTTGGGCCGTCTTGGACTCTCTTGGGCCGTTTTGGAGGCCGTCTTGGACCATCTCGGGCGGACTTGGAGGCCATCTTGGGCCATCTTCGCGATTTTTTGAGGATGTCCCGAGCGAAACGGCCGTTTTTGGGCATTGACAGACGCATTTTGGGAAACGCGCGGGTGGCCGGCGGGACGGGCCGAAGCCCACTGGGGAGTTCTTTTAGAAAAAGAACCAAAACCAAAACTGAATCATCCAGCACGCCGTGCACCCCTGTGCTGAAGCAAAAGGGGGCGGCGGATCTTATGGCCTTCGGCCCATCCCGCCACCGTGCTTGGGCTGTGGTTCTGAGGCCTCTTGGATACATGATTATGAGGGCTTCCTGGGATGCCTCTCGGGGGACTGGGAGGGCTCTTGGGGGCTTTGGGGGGCCTCTTGGGGCCTCTTGGGTGTCTCGGGGGCCTCTTGGGGCGTCTACGGGGGGGCCTCAGGACCCTCGTGGACCATCTTGGGGCTATCTTGGGGCGTCTTACATAGGGCCCTCCTGCGGTCCTCTTGGGCAGTCCTTGGGCGCTATTGGGGGCTCGTGTGGCTGTGTTGGACTGTTGGGAGCTGAAATGGAGAGACGGCAAAAATCCATCAAACATTTAATGGTGTTGGGCTTTTTAGAGCCTTCTTGGGGGTCCTCTTGGAACGCTCTTGGGACCTCTCGGGTGCCGCTTGGGGCCGTCCCGGGGCAATCTTCAGCGACTTGGAACGCTCTTGGACCGTTTTGGTGGCCTCTTGGGGCAATGTAAGCCCGTTTTGGGGCCCTCCTGGGCGTTGTCGCCTTCCCAGAGGCCCACGCGGACCACCCCGGGCGCGCCCGGTGCAAAGCGCCCGGAAGCGACTGGGAAACCGGGGGGTTGGGCCATTCAGAACTCTCTAGAACCCTTTAACCTCTCAAGGCTGCACGAGCCTTGGGGCGCTCCACCACGTGCTGACGGCACTGGGGCGGATTTAGCATTAGTGGGATGTGTGTTTCTTTAGTGTTCGATGATGCTTGATCCGTGAAGTGCTGAGTGATTCCAGCGCGCTCCGAGTTCTCACCACCCAGCCAGAGAGTCTCCGAGAGCTAAGGTGGGAATGTGTTGATACGAGCATGTGGTGGAGAATTGATTTACTTAGCTGGATGCCCTTTGAAACAGTGATGTCTTGCAATATATGCGGTACAATCACTGTGGTGCAATTCTAGGTGGTGCAATCAATGTGGTGCAGCCTATGTTGCGAAAAGCAGTGCAGATCAATGTAAAATAATTTAAAGCAATGCAGCGCAGTTCAACGCAATGCAAAGCAGTGCGCAGCAGTTCAAAGCACTGCAAACCAGTGCAAATCAGCGCAAAGCGATGCAAAACAGCGAAAAGCAGTGCAATGCAAACATCAATGCAAAACACTGCAATGCGATGCAGTGCGATTACAGTGCAAGGGGGGGTGCAACGGGACGGCGGCGACGGGCGGTAACGGGGCCGCTGGGGCCGCACACGGGCCCGCTTCCCGAGAGGGGAAGCCAGGAACCCTGAGCGCAAGCACTGCTTGGGGAATGTCCAGGCTGCAGTGCTCCCCGTTCTCTGCCCCCGTGGCGGCAGGCGGTGCGCGAGGTCCTCCAGCGCGGACGGAGCGAGAGGGCAAGTCATGAGGGATGGCGAACGGCCCTAGCTTTGGAGGGGTACCCTGAGGCTCTTCGTGCTTGGGACCCTGGAGTGGCCTTCTTTCGGCCCATCTCCATGGGCCCATGGTCTCTCGGCGAAGGCTCTCGTGCTCTCGACGGATGTTCTCGTGCCCGTGTTTCGACTGTAGGAGAAGGCTGGCGCGCAGAGAGCCCACGAGATTGAGGGGAGGGGAGGTGGCCGAGTGCGCGACCGCGCTGCTTCCTCCGATCCTCTTATTCCACGGAGGCTGCGGGAGGGAATTGCGCAGCAGAGTGGACGCACGTGAGTAGGAAGCACGGGCCTCTGAAGTGTCCGACGCTGTCGCGTGGAGGTTTCACATGCCGCCGTTTGTAGCAGTGTTTATGTCGCAGCACGCAGCAGTTTTTGGCCCTCTGGTCGCCAATTGTTCACCCATTGACCTACTGTTTGTACCAACTGCTCACCGCCCATGGCCTACTGCCTAATGCCAACCACCCGAAGTCTGCCCATCACCTGCAATCCACCAACACTGACCGCTCACCGCTCCCATCTACCACGCACCCAATACAATCAGACAGCACAGTCATGGGTAAGTCTCGACCCGAGTTCTTCTGATGAGAACGAGCCGCCATCAAGCTAAACCAGGCCAGCTACTCTCAAGCCGAACTTCACAGGCTGAAGGCATGTTGACGGCAAGCTAACGGATACGCCGTTTTCTAGATTTTACCATCCAGGGGGGTGGGACACCCCCCTCCTCCCCCAAAACGGGAATCCCGGTATCAGTGGCCCCGGGGGCCCTCTGGACGCGCCTGCAGAAGGTCCCCCAGGCTCTCCGGGCTCCTGGAAGCCCCTGCTTGGCTTAGGCAGCGGACCCAAATCGGTCACGAGGGAGGCCGGACGCCCCCTCGAGCGCCCTACGAGGCACCAGGCGTCCAACAGACGCCCGAAGACGACCCAAAGCAGACTTTCAAGACGCTTTCGAAACGAAATGAATAATCGACGTTTGATGTTTTTTTGTATGATTTTTGGAATGCTCTGTTCTTCCGTCTTCCAGGCGTCCGAGAGACCACCCAGGAGGCCCGAGAATCGTGCCAAAACTACCCAAAAGGGCTTCCAGGCCCAGGCAGTCCAGGAGAGCCCCAAGACGGCCCAACAGGGCCCCACGACGGCCCGAAGAGAGCCCCATGACGGCCCAAGATGGCCCCAAGATGCCCCCCGAAGCATTCGCTCCACGTCGTGACCTGGTCGTTCAGGGAGACCGCGCTTGGAAAAAGGGTAGCGCGAGGAGGCCCCCAGAGGCCTTCAGAAGCCGCCCAGGAGGCCTCCAGCCTGAATAAGCCCTTACAATTTGATGTAACGCCCCCAAGAGGTTCTCCAAGGAGGAACCTCCGCAAAAAGAGCTCAGGAGGATGGGGAAGAATTCGCAGGGTCGGGCGATAATGATGAAGAGGAACAGGAAACATGAGGGAGGGATAACGAATAACACCATTATCGCGAAGATGTCCGAAAAGGCAACAAGGAGCCACCACTATTTTCCTGTTCTACCTTCCTGCCCTTCCGCCTGCATGGCGCGTAGCGCCAATGCAGTCTGGTTTGTTTGTTTGTTTGTTTGCTTGTTCCTTTGTTGTTTGTTTATTAGTTTGTTTGTTCGTATGCATGCATGCAGGTATGTATGTATGCTTACATGCATGTATGTATGTATGCATGTATGCATGCATGCATGTACGCATGCATGCATGCATGTCTGTGTGTGTGTGCGTATGTGTGTATGTATGCATGCACGCATGCATGCATGCATGTATGTATTTATGCATGTATGCATGTATGCCTGTATGTCTGAATGTATGTATGCATGCACACCTGTATGCCTGTATGCATGCATGCATGTATGCATGTCTGATTGTATGCGTTCATGCATGTGTATATATATGTATGTATGTTTAATATTTGATTGTTGTATCTCTCGCTTCGTCGAGGCCCGCTTATCTGTAAACTATTTCGCTCAAGTCTTCAAGGCCGATGTGGCAGCAGCGCCTCCAGGATTTAGCAGCCAACAGTTTGCTATCCTACCTCAGCAGGTGCCCAAGGGCACCGCCCTGCCCGTCAGTGCCCGCCTGCCCGACAACTCCTTCGGTGACGTGCGGCTCCTGTCCTGCGTGCCCTGCCTGCCCTTCCTGTACGTGCGGAGGTCTTACTTCAGTTTCGGCACCAGCCCCGACAGGCGAGCGCCCTGCCTCACAGGATCCTGACTGTGCCTGGGGCTTGTGGCTGGCCATCGGCATTATCATCGGAGTGATCGCAAATTGGGTCTTTATCGGTGCGTTCCAGCTCATCAGGGTATTCGTGACGCAGGGACTTCGAGTCCTCGGAAAACCAGGAGCGTCGACTCCAGCGGCACCTGTTGCGTCTTCTGCCCAGCTGACGAACAGCATCAGAGATGGACACTTTGGACACCCAAGAACCCCAAGTTCTGGTACATTATCCCGATGATGCCGGAGGAGTGATTTGGCATCATCGCATCCCGGCCAAGAAGATCACGGCTGGGGTGTGGATTGCGATCACACCGGATCTCGAGCTGGTTCGACACAACCTTCTCGAGCAGCGCCACATAGTTTTGGATAGGAATTCCATGTTTCCAGCAGCCCAGCGTGCTCAGACTTACGGGTTTGATCCAGTGCCTCGGGCTGAGCTCCTCGCCCTCAGGCGCCAGGCCGCTGTGCAGGCCGCCATTCTGGGCGACGACGATCAGGACATGGAGATCGAGAATAATGCCTGGGTGATCGCGGAGACAGATCACCTCAGGTTCGCCCAAGTCCTGTCCGACCCGGAGGTTCAGCAGGCCACCCTTGGCCAGTCCAAGGGCGTCGCCTTGGTCAACAGTATGGAGGTTTCTGTTGCGCGGATCCAGACGAATCAGTTGGAGGCTTGGAAGGCTTCTCGTAAGTCTGGTACAGGAGATCTGCGAGTTTTGGGAGATCATCGTGGTGCTTCGGGACGTCGTCACCTCGCGTTGAGTGAGGCAGTCTCTTTGATGCGCGAGACGACGTTCGACGGTTGGATCATGCTAGGGCCAAGAGTTGCCAAGGAGTGGCTCACGTCAGTTAGGAACGGCCCTGGCGACCTGACTTCTCATCATGGGCAGTGGGTACGGCTCTCGGGAATCAGTGAGTTCTCAGCGGTGGCCCACATACATTACGTTTTGTGTGAAGCAGTCCGCCTAACCATCCAGACTGACCAGCTCGACGTCACGCATCTTGTGAGTTGTGAGTTGATCATGCGGAGAATTTGCCAAGACGAGACCGCCGTGTCTCGTAATCCGAGACACCCAGACTACGGAGGTCTGGACATCGTGCTGCACGCCCCGACGACCGAGCAGGGCCAGGCCAGCACCAACAACTTCACGGGGTGGGTGACGAGCCGCCTCAAGGATCTGGCCGCCATTTTCAAGCAGACCCGCCTCTGGAACGAGGAGCAGCGCGCCCTGCAGGTCTCGCGTGGACCGCAGGACCCCGATGCCAAAGATCGGGGCCCCGGGCGTGGCCGAGGGCGTGGTCGGGGTCGAGACGGCGGCGGTGGTGGCGGCAAGGGTGGCGAGCAGGCGCCGGGGTGAACGGCGCCTCCAGGGCTGAGTCTGATCCTCGAGCTCAGCCCGGTGCTGTCTATCGCGATCGGGGACATTCTACCCGGTGGAGGCCTTCAAGACGTAGGCATGGGGACCCGTCCCCTCTGCCGCAATTTTCGGGCCCCCAGCTTGACAAGCTCGGGGTCGCCGCGAGCAGCAACAGCGGGTTCACCAGGCACGGGCTTCGCTCAACCACCTCGCTGCTGCTCAACCGAATTCGGACTCGTTTCGCCAGGACCGGCATTCGGCTCGGGCCCCGACCGCAGTCCAGGAATGGGTCTTGGGCAGCATCGTGGAGCGCGTCGACGCAGTGTGGCCTCCCCCTCCAGGCCTCGCGGCCGAGGGGGCCGCACGTGAGCTGCTGGCCACCAAGGACCGGTACAGTCAGGAGCCGAAGCACCTCGCACCGTTCGACCTGACGAAGCTCAAGGTAGCGAAAGGACGTGCGCGGCCACGCTCTGTGGCCAACTTATTACCACCTTTGGCGGCGGAGATGCTCCGCCAACCAGCTCAGTATATCGAGAAAGATGAGGGGGGGGGTGGAGTTCATGCGCCAGACGACTGACCCCATCAAGCCTTATTGGGATCCCGTTCTTCGTTCCAGTCGTCTAGAGCGTTGGCGGCTGTTCAAGGTGTTGTACGAGCTGGGACTCATCGCCTTCAGGCGCCGTCCGCGGGCTCGAGCAGCCGTCTTTTTTGTGAAGAAGAAGAAACCAGGCGAGAACAGGATGATCGTGGACGCCAGGCAGGCCAACGCTTGCCACCGCGCGCCTCCGACCGCCCGACTTGGGTCGGCAGGCGCCCTCGCAGACCTCGACTTCTCTGCTGGGGGCGGCTCCTTCGACGGCGCCGGTGGCGTTGTCGGCTGGGGCCCCCACGGGGGCGAGGCTGACGTGGAGGACTGTTTTTACAGCTTTGCGATCGACGGCCTGTCGGAGTGGTTCGGCTTCGACGACCCGCTGCCGGTCACCACGATTCGGGGCACCTCCGGCATCGCAGTGGGCGCCTTCTGGGACCCGGACTTGAATAAGATGGTCCACGCGGACGATGGCGTTGTCCTCTACCCCAGCATGCGGGCATTGTGCATGGGCTGGTCGTGGGCTTTGTTTTTTGCCCAAGAGGCGGTCTCTTCGATGACGTGTCGGGCTCTCCAGCCTCGCTCCTCGGCCGAGCCGGCCACGGTGAAGGAGCGGCGCCCTGCGCCCGACCTCAGCGAGTCCAGCGTGCTGGGAGGCGTCTACGTCGACAACATCACAGTCGCGGGCAGGACGGCGACCCTGGCTCGCGAGGCCAGCTCGGCTCTCCAAGGGGAGGCCGATCGTTGCGGGCTGCCCATCTGCTGGAGTTACTCGGCCTCAAGCACGGGCGCCTCCGCAACAAGGCTTCTCGCATCTGGAGGTTTGACTTGGCCACTCGGGCCCCGCTAGCACGAGGCAAGATGCGTGGCGAGCATATGGAGGTCTGGTTGGGACACGCGATCTCTTTGTTGATGCTCGCCCGGCCAGGCTACGCCGCGCTGCCCTCCGCCTGCCGGTTCGCGGAGTCGGCCCGGGGCAGGCGCGCAGCTTTGCCCCGGGAGGTCAAGCAGGAGCTGCGCATCGTGGTGGGCCTTGTGTGGCTGACGGAGATAGACCTGGCGGCGCCCTACGCGCCGCGCGTGCACGCCAGCGACTCCTCCGACCTCGGGCACGGGCTCATGTACAAGAGGGCCCGCGCCGAGGAGCTCCGCGCGGACTTCCGGTGGAAGGAGAAGGTGAGCTTCGGACAGCATCTTCGAGGTCCTCGCGTCGGCCTGGTCTCTCCCTCGGATGTCGCTGACATGGGGGGCTACGGCGCGACGGACCTCCGTTGCGAGCCTCAGGATGCAGGCGCGAGCGGCGGCGAGGCCGGGCTCCGATGGCCAGCCTCCTCGCCCTACAGCGGCGCTGGCCCGGCGACCGCCCTCGGCCAGTGGATGCAGGCCAAGGTGGAGGACGGCGCCGTCAGCTGGTCGTCCTCGCGCCCAGTCTCGCCGAGCTCGACACCATGGCAGCGGTTGTGCCGATGACGATGACGCCATGCCAGAGGTGGGCCCTCTGGCGCCGCCGCTTCCGGTCTCGTGGTTCGACCCTGAGGGTTCTACGCTGGTTCCCATCGAAGCGCCGGCGCTGGCCGGGCGAGCACATCAATGTGAAGGAGACCCGCGCTTCTGTGATGGGGCTCCGACATGCCTGCCGCGTCCGCCGCAACTGCGGACGCCGCCTTGTTTCAATTGTGGATTCCATGGTCTGTGTTGGCTGCCTGGATAAAGGGCGGCCTAGCCGCTCAGCAGCCCTGAGCGCACAATGCCGACGCGCGGCGGCCTGCGCTATCGGATGTAGAGTGCGTTGGAGGCTGCGGTCTGTCAGCGCAAAGTTCAACGTTGCTGACGAACTGTCTCGTCGCTTCGAGCGGACCTCTCCCAACAGAGGCTACCTCCAACAGGATAAGACATACACTTCAACATCTTCCCCTTCTCGTTCTTCCCTTGGCAAGATAGCGGAGATAGGTTCCCTGCCTCCTGGAGTCGGCCTCGCAGGGCGTCCGCCCGCCGATGTCGGGAGCAATGAAGTGCCAGAAGTGCAGCCTCGAGAGCCGTGCGCCGATCAATCTCATCGATCGTCCTGCCCGTCATCCACGTCTACGCCTCCGGCGACTACTCAAACCGCCGGCCCCGCTCTTCGTCTGGGACATGCTGAACTTCTGAGGCGGGCCCGACGTGGCCAGGGCGTTCTGGGGCTGTTCTCGGGGGAGGGCGGGCTCTCGGAGGCTTTCGAGGAGCTCAACCTGAGGACGTTCCCTTGCATGGACATCAAAGATGGTCCCACTATGACCTTGGATCCCGCGGTCCAGCTCATCGCCTTGGAAGGTATTCGGAGGGGACTCTTTTGGTATATACATATGGGTACCCCGTGTTGTGTCTGGTCTCGGGCTCGGCACAACATGCAAGATCATGATAAAGCTCCTGTTCAGTTGTCGCGTGGCTTACGAATGTTCACGAAACGGAGTTTTCTGGAGTATTGAGAACCCAAGATCCTCGAGGCTCTGGGACTTTGACCCTGTGCGGGAGCTTACAGGTTTTCCTGATGTCTTTCGCATGCTATTCGTGCACTGTAGTTATGGGGCCTCGCACCTGAAACCGACGGCGCTTCTCACGAATTTCTTTGCTTTGTCGTCTCTGGCTTCTGTGTGCTCGAGAGATCGCGTCCATGTGGAGCCGCGGGGTTTTGAATCAGTGACGTTGCCATCGGGGGCTCGGGTCTCTTGCAACCGAACTGCAGGCGCCGGGGCCTATCCTCGCGCCCTTTGCGCAGCATGGGCACGCGCCGGCTCCATGACAGCGCCTGCGGGCGCTCGAGGCAGTCCTGAGGCCCCAGACGACGGTGACCTGCAAGCTCGGCTGCGCGATGCTGTGCGACGGCCAGCTTCACGCGCCCGCGGCCGCCTCCGACCAGCTCGGCGACGGCTTCAGGCGGAACCTGACTTCGGGCTCCTCGCAGCCGCCGACCCGAACACCCTCGAGAGCAGGCACGGCCACCTCCGGCCGTGCATCATCTTCGCCCAGGACTCCAACCTCGAGGCAGCCCGGAAGCAAGCGGCCCGCGCCCTCAGAGGCCAGAAAGGCCGTTGGGCGGCACTCCCGCGCCTGTAACTTCGCGGAAGCCATCCAGGGCAGGAACCTCACCTTTGGGCCTCGAGCCCCAGTTCCTGTCGATGGCGGTGTTGCACGTTTTGGATCTATCACAGCGGTCTCCTTGGAACGAGATGGAGCTGCTGTTCGAGACTTCTTCGACTGGGCCACGCGCGCAGAGGATCTCAAGTGGGCCCCCGAATCGAAGATTGACCAATTGATGTGCAAGTATTTTGACGACCTCATGAGCGACGCCCGACATCCTGCTGAGGGGCGATACGCGTTATCGGGTTTCCTGGCCTTCTTCCCTCGGGCCGATGTTGCCAAGTCCGACCGGCTCGTGAGGCGATGAAGGGGTGGGTTCGACGGTTCCCAGGCTCTTCTCGACATCCTTGGCCGCTTTGCGTCTTCTTCCTCTTCATGACCGTTTTCCTGAAGAGCGGCCACGTGGACGCTGCGGTCGCCCTTGCCATCCAGCTGGACGCCTACCTGAGACCCTCCGAGATCTGCGAGTTGCGCTGGTGTTCAGTGGTTCGACCGTCTGCACTCTCTTCAAGACTCGTTCGTGCAAGATGGGTCGTGGTCATCGGGAACTCCGACCTCGGCGAGACCGCGAAGACCGGCGAGAGCGACGACACGGTCGTGCTCAATTTGCCAGGCCGTGAGTGGATTGGCTCTATGCTGGACACGTGGGTTCGGCGTAGTGGAACAAACGCCAGCTCAGACGACTTTGTTTTCCCAAGCTTAACCTTGGCTAAGTATGAAGCCCTCTTTAGGAAGTTTAGCCGTTCGCTCCTTGGCAAGCTAGGCCCCTTGACACCCCATGTGGCCAGACACTCTGCTCCTAGTCATGACGTTTTCGTGGGGTCTCGCAGTCTTGCTTTCCTTCAGAAGCGGGGCCGATGGGCCCATCCTAAGTCCGTGAAGCGGTGCGAAAAGAGCGGTCGGCTCCTTCTGCAAGCAGCTCGCCTCCCTGCGGACCTTGCCCGTCGGGCTGCGGCAGCGGAAGCCTCTATCTTTCTATCATTCCAAGAGGCCTCCAGTAAATGCTTGTGGTATGGGAGCGCTTTTTGTGCAAAGCCTTTGCGTTTCTTTCCTCACGAGTTGTCTGTGCTGCCTCGCTTCGGAAGGATTCGAATGTATAGCTCGCCAGCTGCGTGAAAAAAATGGAACAGAGATTCGTCATCGTCCTGCGTGGCAGGGACTCTGGGCCGACCTAGAAGTTGGAGGGTTTTTTTTTTAATATTTGATTGTTGTATCTCTCGCTTCGTTGAGGCCCGCTTATCTGTAAACTATTTCGCTCAAAACCTTGGCGTTTCTTTCCTCACGAGTTGTCTGTATTGCCTCGCTTCGGAAGGATTCGAATGTATAACTCGCCTGCTGCATGAAAAAGTGGAACAGAGATTTGTAATCGTCCTGCGTGGGCCGACCTAGAAGGTGGAAAGGTGTGTGTGTGCGTATAAATGTATATATATATATATACACATGTGTATGTGTGTATATATATAGATATTTGTACGTGTGGCGATGTTTGTATGCATGTATGTTTGTGCACATATATATGCATACGCGTATGCATATACATATATATATATATATATATGTGTGAGAGTGTGTATGTGTATATGCATGTACGTATGTACGTATGCGTGGATGCATGTCGCTATGTATGTGTGCATATGCACATGCGTATGCATCTATGTACGTATATTTATATTTACATATACATACATATACACGTATATGTACGTGTGTATGTATGCATGCATGCATGCATGTATGTATGTGTGCATTCATGTATGCACGTATGTAAGCGTGTACGCATGTATGTATGCATATGTGTATGTATTTCTGTATGGATGTGTATAATGCATTGTACTGTCATGTAATCGATTGTAATGTACTGTAATGATGTAGGTAGACAGGAGCTTGCGTATGTGTGTGTATGTATCTACGTATGTCCACACATGTATGTATGAGTGCATGTATGCTTATGTTTATGTATGTATGTGGGTGCATGCATGTATGTATATATGAATGGGTGAACATGTAGTTGTGTATGTATGCATGTATGCATGTGTGCGTGCATGTATGTTTGTATGTTTATAGGGATGTGTGTATGCATGCATGCACGCATGTATTTAGGTATGAGTGTATGTATGCATGTATGCATGCATGCATGTATGTATGTGTGTATGTAGGTATGTGTTTTGTTGGTTGGGTGTTTGTGTGTTTATGTGTACGCCTGTCCATATGTATGCATGCATGCATGTATGTCTGTCTGTATGTATGCATGCATGTGTATATGTATATATGAATGTGTATGTATGCGTGCATACACCTACGTATACATATCTGTATGTTTGTATATATATGTGTGTCTGTGTATATATATATATATATATATATATATTATACATGTGCGTGCGCATCGCCAGTGCAGTCACTCTGCCTAGCCGCCGACGCAAAAGTGTGTGTGTGTGCGTGTGTGTGTGTGTGTGCGTGTGTGTGTGTGTGTGTGTGTGTGTGTCTGTGTGTGTACAGTTGCCTTCGGCCTGTCCCGCCATTGTGCTGGGTTGTAGGTCAGAGGCCTCTGGAATGTCCTTGGGGATCTCCAGGGAGGCCTCTCGGATGCCTCTCGGATTCGGTTTTGGCGTCTCTTTGGGCCTCTTGGGGCCTGTTGGGGCCTGATTTGGGCCCCTTGAGCCTCCAGGAGCTCGTTGGGGGGCCTCTTGGGGGCCTGCTAGCGGTCTCGGGGGCCATCTTGGGGCGAACGGCTCGAAGTGTCGATTCGTGTTCCCGCTCGGGCCTTGTTTGGGCCCCTCTTGGAGCTCTATTGGGCCATCTTGGGGGCCTCTTGGGCCATCTTGCGGCCATTTTGGGTCGTTTTGGGCGCTTTCGGGATCCTCTTGGGCTGTCTTGGGGCGATCTTTGGGGCCTTTGGGGCCGTCCTGGAGCGTCGAAAGCCAGAAAAGGCAAGACAACTCAAATCTTTCAAAGTCCAAAGGTAAATACATTTTGGCATCTCGGGGCCGTCTTGGACGGCCTCTTGGAGCCCTGTTGGGGCGTCTTGGGGGCCTTTTGGGCCGTAGCGGGCCATCTTGGGTGTCTTGGAGCGCTGTTGGGCTGTCTTGGATGCCTCGGCGCATTTCGCCGTGCACCCTGGGCTTTCAATTTCGGCCTACAGGCGGAGTGAGAGAGAGAGGTAAGCAAGGAAAACAGCGATAACTCCTTATTGCCGTTTTGTCGTTGTCGTGGTCTTGTTGTTCCGTCTCCTTCCCTGATATTTCTTCATCCTTCTCGTCTTACTTTGCGAATTCTTCTCAATCCTCCTCGGCTTCTTTTGCGCAGGCTCCTTCTTGGAATGCGTTTTGGGGGCCCCACGTAGCAATGGGGTTTCTTGGGGGCTTTAGGGACCTCCTGGGCCTATTTCGAGGGCCTTTGGGCGCTTCCTCGAGGCACCTTGCTGCGAACTACGGTCTCCCTCGTTTCGGTAGGTATTTTGACCCCATCTTTGACCGCCATGGGGCCCTGGTAGGCCGCCTTGGGGCCCTGGTAGGCCGCCTTGGGGCTCTCTTGGGCTGTCTGCAACTCCTTCGGGGTCGTTTTGGAACCATTTTCGGGGGCCCTTGGGTTTTCTCGAACTCCCATAAGACAGAAGAACCGAGCACAAAACCACTGCTTTTTTTTGATGGCCTCTTGGAGGTGCTATTTGGGCCGTCTTCGGGAAGTCTGGTGGGTGTCTGGGGCCGCTTGGGGCTCTCGCGGGGCCGTTGGGCCACCCTCCTGACCGCTTTTTGGGCCCGCTGGCTAGTCTCGGCGGGGACATCATGGAGGACCGGAAATCCCGGGGGACCCTCTAAGTGCGTTCAGAGGGTCCTTGGGGACCGAAGATCCGCAAGGTCCGGCTTTGGGGGGGGAATTTTGGTGCGGTCTTCCACCAAGATCTCCAACGTGTCTTTGTTGTTTTATCTTAAGGGTGTTCTTCGGCATGCCCCTTTGTCGATTTTTTTCGTAACGCCGACCGATACAACGAGAATCATGCTGTAAGAGCGCCACAAGAGGAATCCTTGTCTAACGGTGCCACAAAAGAAATCCTTTTTTATATGGCTGCCACCACAAGGAATCTTTTTGTATTGCCGCCACAAGAAGGAACCTTTTGTAAGGCCGCCACACAAAGAAATCCCTTTGTAGGGCCGCCACAAAAGGAATCCCTTTGTCAGGGCGCTAATCTTTTTCTGGAGCCAGCAGCGGAAAACTAGGAAAACAAGGAAAAACAAGGAAAGCAAGGAACGCACAGCGAACAACAAGGAAGAACTGACAAACAAAGGTGAAAACACAGCCAAAAACAAATGTCAAAACACAGCCGGAACAAAAAACAAAACAATGAAAGCCAAAGAAAACATATGAAAACATAGCAAGCAGCAATGACAACACAAGAAAACCAGTGTTTTCACACCTTTTTTGTAGCTTTCATTGCTTTTTTGTTGTGTTATCGTGAGTTTTCTTTGGTTTCCATTGTTTCTGGTTGTTTGTTCAACGATATTATGTTGTTGTCATTGTTTCTGTTGTATTTTCATAGGTTTTCTTTGGTTTTCGTTTTTGTTGGCTGTGTTTTCAAAATCTTGTTCAGTTTTTCATTGTGTTTCCGCTGTGTTTTCATTGTTTGTCATTGTTTTCCTGGTTTTCCGCTGCTGGCTCTAGAAATAAGATTAGCGCCCTTACAAAAGGGATTCCTTTTGTGGCGGCCTTACAAAAGGATTCCTTTTGTGGCGGCCTTTCAAAAGGATTCCTTTTGTAGCGGCATTACAAAGGGATTCCTTGTGTGGTGGCCCTACAAAGGGATTTCTTTTGCGGCGGCCTTGCAAAAGGATCGCTTTTGCGGAGGCCATACACAGAAATCTTGCTGTGGCGGCTTGACAAAAGGTTTTCTTCTGTTGCGGCATCACAAAAGAATCCCTTTTTCCGGCGGCCCGGACGCACCCTTGAGGGAATTCTTTTGTTGCACCGCCGTCAAGAGAGGGTATTCTGCTCAAATGTTGTTATCTTGGCGTGGGATGCTTGTCATGAGACGTATCGGAAGATGAACCTTGTTATCGAGTTATTAGTTTTCTCAGAGAAATTGGACCGTGTCGGACGCACCCCTAGAGGGTTTCTTCCTTGCTTCGTGCTTCAAAAGGGGAACGCATGTGTATGTTTTTGATGCTGGGCGGTGCATTCCTACCTTGACAACCTCATCGAGTGAAGTACATCGCCATCAAAGTCGTTTTCTTCAGGAATTTGATTCACGCCATACGCACCCCTTGAGGTCTTTTCTTCCCAGCCCTCCTTGGTTCGGTATTCGTTTTGAATAGAGGGGTGTGGTCGCGTCCTCCTCCCGCCTCCCGCCTCCTCCTGCCCTCTCTTCGCCGACGATGGGGGCTGCGATCTGCGAAACTGTCGCCACTTTCGAGGGCTGCTGGTGGGTCCTGCGGAGCGACGCACCGCGCGGATCTGAGCGGCACCTCGCCATCCCTGGGGGGTTGCGATCTGCGAAACTGTCGCCCTTTTCGAGGGCTGCTGGTGGGTCCTGCGGAGTGAGGCACCGCGCGGATGTGAGCGGGACCTCGCCGTCCTTGGGGGGCTGCGATCTGCGAAATTGTAGCCACTTTCGAGGGC